TTCTGCTGTATCTTCTTTCTAGACAGTATGTGAAAATCTTTATCAATAAAAAAATTACACGATTGCTGAAAATGCTCTAAAAGTAAATGGATGAATTGTTTTTGAACAATTTTTGAATGGAAAAAACAACCTTATGGAATTTTTCTTATGTAAACATATTGTAAAATATCCGATCTTGAAAATTAAAAAAAAGTTTCAATATCTAAAGTGGTTCTTGAGTTATGGACTGTTATGTGTTAAAAAGTTGAGTTTTTAAATTATCGCGATTACTGACGTTTTCTCGTTATAAAAAAATGACACCTTAACGATATCCTTATAATTCCATTTCAGATGCTCAGAAACATGTCTAATGATTTTATCTAGTTATCTCTTGAAAAAAAAGTCTTTTAAAAATAAGTGGTTTGCGATCGTGATTTTATTTTACTTGATAGGGAAAGGCGTACCGGCAACGCCGCAACAGCACACCGTCGCATTTCTCTCACTCCGACTTAATAAGATCCCTATGCGATTTACTTCCACACATGTAAATGCCGACCAAAAAGTAACAGTTGCCAGTACGGTATACCAATTATAACATCAGCATTTTACTTAACAAAAATGGAAAACAAATATATTTAAGCATAATGCAACAGACGTATTAACAAGATGAAAAGATTATTAATTTAACTTTATTAACCTATATTTTAAATAATTATTGACAAGTTATTATATAGAGAGACAACAGAAATAGTAATTAGTTAAAATTAAAAAGTTAATCTTATTACTGGTAATAAAAAATTCTCTGTATATTACATTCAAGACATCTGCAAACATCCAAATGGAATCCAGTATCAACATTACAGTAAGTTTGCAATTAATATATTGGGTTTATCTATTATAAGATAAATTTTATATTATTACTTATTAAAAACTGATGTAATATCGTAATTTTATTTTTGTTTATGACTAGAGATACTTAGTAGCCGAAACATTTTTTCAAACTGTTTATTGAGAATCTGCTTAATTGTTAATCTATAAAAGTAAAAGTAGTACACTTCACTTATTGAATATTGTATAATATCGACCAAAGACGTTTTCGTTAAAATTGCATTAAATAAAATAATGGTATTCCATTTGACACTAATTAAACCGCAACGTATTTATTTGTGTTAATTTTTATTTACCTATTTACCTATGGCTATCATAATAATCTATTAAATTTTAAGGAATACGACAAATGTTAAGTAAGCAGTTGATAGAAGAGTTTAGGTTTTTAGCATTATATTTATTGATAGGCGAAATTATTCATAATCTTCAAGAACGACTTATCCAGTATAAAGTAGTGTAAATTTTTAGTTTTCTGTATGAATTAAAACACTATTATAATCCTCTAAAGTTAGCTAGATATAGCCTTTCCATTTCCATGTACTTACAAAGACCAGTTGAAATAAAAATGTTTTTATAAGAATTATTGGATATAATTATCAAACGGAAAAAAAATGACATCCACCACTCTTAACATGTAAGAGATAATGATTACTATTATAAAGGAGATATAGAGACATTTAGTTCGATCCCTTCGTACTTATTTATTGGAGGTAGTAAAAACTATAAGTACGACGTGTAAGGTTTTATCTGAATCGTGATCAGAAACAGAAATAAAAATAAACTAAAAACGATCAGAAAGTAATGAAAAATTTACAAGTTTACATCGTATCGCACTAAAAACACTGTGAAAAAATGTCTATAATTTTATTGAAAAAACGTTTAAATACAGACAATACAGCAAATATAGACACTATACTAAACTAAATAAGTTTGAAATAGGAAGAAACAATCCAATCCTTTTAAAAAGCGAAGATAACATTTTCTGATCGTCTCATATATTTTGTTTTCACTTTCTGGCGAAACCCCACAAGTCTCTATATGTGAAGTTTTTGACTACCTCCAATAGGTAAGCCTGCAGGTATCACACTATACGACCAGAAATGATGGAGGATCATCCTTATAATATAAAACCTTTATTCAAGGTGTCTACGAAACTATTTTAAGTATGGCATTGTTGAAAAGCCCGTTGCTGTCTCTTTACAGTCTTATACCAAATTCTTAAATCCTACAATTAGTTCTTGAGATACTTGATGATGTTCAAAAGTAAGCAACATTTTTGAAAACTAGATATTTTGATTTTCTCTTAGAAAAAATAAATTGTCAAAAAGGTCTCAGAGACAGAATTGGGGAAACAAATCGTCGTCTTCCACACAAAGTGTAAGTAAAAAGTATAAAGTAACTAACGTTTTGAAAATTTTACAGCAGAGCGAAAAAAACGATTTATCTTGTGTGCTACAGCACAAGAGCCTTTGCTGTTACAGTTATGACACTGTTGGGACTGTTAGATCTAGGGTTGCCAACCGTCCTCTATTTTAGTGGACAGCCCTCTTATTGATCTCACTGTCCTCTTTTCTCTCACGTATTGAAAAAATCCTCTTTTTTACATACCAAACTCTAAAAAATATTCGTCTATCGCTAGAATGCTTTAAAAAATTATTAATCTGCATCTTTTGCTACTCCCACTCGTTTGTACATACAGAAAAGAAAATGAATAAATATTATGTGACTAGTCTCATTCACTATACAAAAATATTTGTGGAAGCGAGAAACATCTTTAACTATTTTATGTTTTATTGTGTAGCGTACTTATTGTGTAGCTTATGGTTTTGAAAAAAAATTGTTGAAAACGGTTTGGTTTATTTTAACAAGTTTTTTGAATCTAAATATTTTTAAGAAAGTAAGAAAGATCAAATTTCAAAACCATCAATTGCATCGTTCCAATTGTTGTCGCGGTATTATATTATTCAACAGTAATTTTTATCAAAGCCACCTAATATGATCATTGTCTGTCATTTTTTCATTGAAAACCCCATAATATGCGTAATATAATACAAGGAATATCTGCAAAACCCGCCTTATTAATTTAAAAAAAATGTAAGAACGCTGTTCCAGAATACAGTACTATTTGGAACACTATATATAAAAAACCAAAATTATACGTACATTTTGTTATTTTAACTTTATCACAATTACTATAAATTATTTTCGTAAAAATAAATATAATTTAAATTTATCATGAATTCCTTTAATTTATCTATCTTGGTCTATCGTCCCAGATGAAGATGAATTTTTATTGAATTTTTCAGCTACCGCATATACGAAATGCCACTATCAAAAGTTGGGGCTGCAAATTTATTTTCTTCGTGTGTCTACAGAGTGGTTCAAATTGTATTCGGGAAACTCCTAACATATTCTGCATATAAAAATAAGTAAAAATGTTCGTATAAATTCATGTCCGAAAATGCTTGCTGAGATACAGAACTGAGATGCAGCTTCATTTTTGTTTCAGGTTTTTTCCTAATAATTTCTGAATTATAGTCGATATTGTCTTTCAGAAGATAAGAAAGTGATAGTGGCAGCAGGTACAGCAGCAACCAGTGATTCAGCACAAAACACTGATTGCGGTGGGGAATGGAAGATTCCCAAAGGTTGCAGCCCTGAGAACTTAACTTGCGAGTATAGTGCTAAATGGGAGTTAATTCCTAGGAAAGACGAAATTAGATTCACACTGACCACCAGCAACACTGACACTTGGACAGGCATAGCGTTTTCAAACGATGAAAAAATGTCCCAGACAGACGCTGTACTTGGTTGGGTGGATAAAACTGGCAGGCCCTTCCTAATGGACACCTGGATATCTGGGTACACGCAGCCATTCTTAGATTCAAATCAAAATACAACACCAGTGGTAATATACAACACCAGTGGTAAGAACACAACACAGTGGGTAAGAACACAACACAGAAGTATATACAACACCAGTGGTAAGAACTTTTATCTCATTTGCTTGAAAGTTGCACTTTCTTTAATGTTTAATTTTGTAGGTCGTATTGAGAATGGTGTCACTACATTATCTTTCACTAGAAAACGCATCACCAACGATCCTAGGGATCTAGACTTCACTGATGATAGATGCCTGTTCATGGTGTTCCCTGTAAACGGTGGTGCTTTCAATAGCGTTAACAAAAAAATCCGCAAGCACGAGGTATTACCCGTGGTCAGCACTGAAAGAATATGCATCAAATCATGTGGCAACGGTAAGTATTAATAACTATTTTCTTTTTAACACTTATTTCCCTGGGGTGTGGTCTCTTCTGTTATCTTTCTATGTGTTATTTTCGGCAATCTAAGACGTATATAGTTACGTTTTTCCAGATCTCGACTTAACGAAATCAACTCTTTCTCCTATAACTGTCACTGTTACAGAAGAAGAAACTTCTATAACTGCAGAGGTGACTACAATCTTTTCGTCGAATCCTGAGACAGAAGATACCACACTCACAACATCACTAATATCCTCAACAACACCAAGATATAAATATAAATGTAACGGCAAGAATTTTTGGCAAGAGAAATTTGGATATCGATGCTAATGTGACTCCTACTTATAGGTGGTACCACCTACATGTTTCGCCTGCGCCTCTTTTTTACCCTGTCCTCTATTTTTTATTTTGAAAGTTGGCAACCCTAGTTAGACCACAGTAAGATACTTTTTTTAGTCTAAAATTTTCAAAATGTTAGTTACGACACTTTGTTTGTAAGGCGATGAAATGTTCCCTTAATCCCTCAATGTGTATTTAGGAGCTTTGGTACTTTTTTGTCTAAGAGACATTCCTGTTCAAATTGTCACCTTCTATACCAATAATTATGACTTTTAAACTATATAATTTTCAAAAAATAACATAATATCTACGCTATTACATTATTTTTGATTTACATACTACGCAAGTCACAGTAGTACTCACCTAGTATAAACCTTGAATAAACTGTGAAATTTATATTAAACAACAAAAAACAATGAAGATATTATTAGAAATATTCCTGTCTCTTTTAATCACACTAATAACATAGATTTGTTTTGTCCAAAAACCACCCTCTGAACTATTTCAAGAAATACTAATCCTAACACTTACTGTATCTTTGAAAATCCAAACTCTCGAGCAATCCTCAAAACCGAAACTAACTACCAACCACCAAAATATATCCAAACGCACAACTATCCAATCCGTATCGCGCGCACGTTGACGCACACTAATCAACCAACACCCTGTATAATATATTATCGCTTCGTCGTGTTATCGGTATATCTGTCTTCGACGCACTCGCGATCTTCAACTCGAGACTGAGTACGATTCGAAAGTTTGGGCGGCGCGAGGTGTCTGCGAAGAAGCTGGTCGTACCACTGAGTGGCCCGCGTCGGTCAGTCTATTTTCCACTCGATGACCACCAGCAGTAGTACCAGCAGGAGCGAGTGGGTGACGCGTACCCCACCAAGCTGCAGTCCACCCTTGAGACGTTTTCGGAACCACCGAGTCATTAGCTTGGTTACTTAAGAGGTCGAGTCAGTTGGGGGGTCTCTGGAAGCCTCGTTTTTTTGCGGTTTTGCGATGACCTTATGCGTAATTTTCATTTACAGGGTGGTCTTACTTTACAAACAAATTTAGAAGAGTATAAAATATTTTGGTTTAATGTGAAACAGCAGCCTTCACAAGAACAAATAAATAATCTTAAGAACGTAATAATCTTTTTTTTATATACTATATAGTGCAATAGGCTTTCATTTATCTCAATTAGCTAGAACTCTCGTATTATACTTGCATCTTATACTTGCAGTGGATATTGATAAAATCAGAATCGAATCGGTATACCGTGTGGTGCATCGAAACACGAGACATAGGAAATCCCATGTTAATTTTGAAAATTAACACCTTTTGAAAAGGTAGAATTGTGTAGAATTTCGTTTAATTTGGTATAGTTATTTAAAAGTTATTTGCATAAATCTACCTTCATATTACTAAAATTTATAATACGGCCCTGAGAACGCTACAATTATTAAAACACCAGCAAAAATGTGATTGTGTCATTGTCAAATTCGATTGTTTACAAAAATTTGAAGGTACCAAAAAAGAGTAATTTTGTATAAAATAATTATGAATTTCGCAACTTCTGAAAAAGTTACGATGGTTAAATGATATTTTGCTGGAAATAGTATTCCCGCTCTGTTAGATATGTTTGCAGTTCAGTCTCTGGAAAGCCTATATCGAATAAGTTAACAGTTTAAAGAATAAACCGGAGATTTGAAACACTACTATTAGCACTCAGCTATTAAGCATAATATGAAAGTGTGAAGACAAAAATAATTGAACAGGAAGAAAATAGCAATGACTTGAATATTTTTCATGTTGAAGAAAAAAAAAACATTGGCTCCCCTTTTTTGGGGATACGGTGGGAAACGACCACAGGATCTTTCGCCGAGCGACTTCTTCCTGTGGAGCACACTGAAAAACCGTCTTTATGGGCATATTAAATACAGAAATTTAGATGGACTGAAAAAGGCACGTCTGTGGAATGCTAAGATTCTCCCCTTAACAGTTTTGTATTGTGAGGCGTGAATTTCACAATCATTTTGGATATTGTTTGGTTGTGAATGGGGACTTATGCAAACATTTTATTAAAATTACTTAGTATAGTTCAATAAAGTTCCTTGTGTTACAAATATTTCGATTATCCCTTGAATTATTGTAATTGTATGTGGTATGAGCGATGCCTGCGAGTGATGAATAGCAAACAAATCATACAATGCGAATACTATTCTCAGTTCAACTAATTCTTTTGTAGATGATCGTTCGAATTCAGAAAAAATAACCACCTTTTTCAAACCACAGAAATTCTTGTAAACAAAAAAATGTGACATCGAATTTGATAATGATAAAATCATATTTTTGCTGGTATTTTAATTGTAGCTTTCTCGGTGCCGTATTATAAATTTTTAATAATATCATGGTAGATTTTTGCAAATAACTTTTAGATGCCTATTCCAAATAAAACGAAGTTCTAGACGACAGTACAACTTTAACGCCTCTTCAAAAAAGTTTATACAATTTCTGAAAAAATCATCTAAGGAGATAATATTTGACCTTTTCAAAATTTACACGGGATTATCTATGTCCCGCGTTCCGATGCACCACACAGTATATCTTTATATAACATTTGATACACATTTGTATCAAAACAATTCTTATTTTTATTGTGGTAAGACGTGTCTACAAACAATTTTTTCGTAGCACTTAGTGGTACGCTTTGGTCAGCCTATTTTTTACTCGATGACCACCAGCAGGAGCCAGGGGATGTCACGATGGAGGTACCCCACCAAGTTGCAGTCCACCATTGAGACATGTGAAGACTTTAATATCGGATGGTGACAGTTTCGATGCTCAACACTGGCATCTCAGAAACTACGAGAGATACGAATTCGGTTAAATGAAAAAAAGTTGCGTAATTAGATGTTTGACAAACCCCTATGAAGAAAACTGCGGTATCTTGATTAGTTTCGGATTTAGGTCAAAAAAATGAAAGTAATACGTTTATTTTAAATGACAATATCTTTAGAGCAAAATCAAACACTAAATCACCACAATACACCAAAACACTTTTACTTTTACACTGGACGCGCGTTTCGCTAACCATGTTAGCATCATCAGCAGATGATTATAAACTAAAATACAATCTACAATTGGAGCGTTTATATACTCGCTCAGTGGGCACAGAGTGGGCGTGGCAAGATCTAGCCAACCGAGTCAGAACCCACCGAGCGTTACAGTTAGATTTCCGCCACTAGAGTAGTAGGAACAAAGAACTTGAAGGAATTGGACCGTTGTCTCTGTTCATACTATCTTTACATTTATTAATTCTGATGCTTTCATATGCCTATTTACAAAAAACTTATAAGCTAACTAATGTAGAGTATGAATGTTAGTGTCTCTTTCAGAGAAAAATGTTTGTGGTTATCAATTCAAAATTTGTTAAGAAAATGTCCATTTTGAATAATAAGTTTAAAAAATTAAAAAGCTCTAAAAACAAACATGTTTTCCGGAGAGATATAAACATAGTAGAGAATTTTTCTTCGCAGACTTTTGATAAACAAGAGCTCAGTTTAAAGTTAAACAAAGGTTTAAAGTTTGCATTGCCCAACTCTGGTAGCGCTTTGGAGGAAATCGTCGTGGGTGTTGAAACTGCTATTCAGCACTTACCCGAGGCTCTAAAGGTATTTACAAGGGAGGCTTGTAGAAATCAGTTATCAGAAAATATCGTTTCAAGTAAATCATTAAAATCTAACAAGGAGCACAAGATTGTCAAGAGTTTGCGAAACAAAGATTGTTTCTACCTAAAAGCTGATAAGGGAGATAAGGTTGTTATATTAGATAAAAAAAGCTATTACGATAAGGTTAACAACTTAATCGATAATGGTCCTTACATAAATTTGAAAAAGAATCCTTTGTCTAAGATGGTAACAGATGTTAAAAAAACTTTAAAAGAATGTAACAACCTAATTGATTTTTCTTTAAAGAGAAAATTGCAAGTACCCAATCCCTCATTACCAAAATTGTATGCGTTGCCAAAAATTCATAAACCGGACAAGTCTATGCGCCCAATTGTTTCTGCTGTAGGTTCTCCGACTTATAATTTGGCAAAATTGTTATCGAGGGAGTTCGAAAATTTACCTAATCATGAACGTCATAATTCATTAAGAATCATAAAGTGTCAATTAGATTTCCAAGGCAGACTTGATCTTAGGGGAATTTTTAAAAAATATATTATAAGTCAATTTACATAATAAAAATTAGATACCACCGTATATAGACTTTTTTTCGCTCTATCTAATAGTATAAAAATTCAAAATGGCGGCCAAAAGAATACGATAACTTGACTGTTGTTGTGCGAAATCTAGAAGACTTAGAAATTTTCTGAAAACGGAATTTAATTGGCCGAGATCAAAAATATAAAACTACCAACTTACGTTGCTATATAACACTACTGGCAAAGGAATATTAGCAATAGGAGGTTTTCAATGCGATAAAAAAAGATGGTAAGGCTGCAAAATACACTGCAGTGCAACAGAGACGGATAAAGTGTCTTTTCCCTACCATCGTATAGGGGAAGTGATCATAGAAGTGATACGACGAGAGCCCCTGCGAGAGGGGGCGCCGGGCGGGTCTTTAAGACGCTTGTGTGGGGGCTACCGCCTACTAATAGAACAGAATCGAAAAAATAGAAACAGGACGGACAGTGTTGCCATTCAATTAAATCGAAATTATGTTGGCTTGTCAAAATCCTAAATCTTCTAATCCCATTATCTTGCCTACTTAATGAAATATTAAATAAAGTACGAAACAATTTTACGAATGTTTTCTCTAGGCACATAACTTCTTTCTAAAACGAAAAGTAACATGCAAAACTTTGATATCATTTCTAAAATAGCAAGTGCAATTCTATGAAATGGCAATACTGTACGATCTTCCTAGCAGTCGCCCCGACACAGTCGGTCGGCGGCGGCGCTTCACAAAGCCGCGATTGTGACAAAGGAATTAGGCCGAAAAAAACTTTATAAGGAGTAGACGAACAGGGTTGCCGGGTTTGTTAGACTATAATTCCATACGAGAACAAAATTCTCGGTAGATCTTCAACAAAAATTAAAAGTACAGAAACCATAGACTTAAAATAAAATATAGACTACACTATTTACATCTCAACGCGGACAAACAACCTTTTTTGTACACATGTTTACTTCTGGGTACAGTCGACCGAGCCTTCCTCATCCAGCCTATGTTGTCACGTCTTTAATATTATCAATATTTTTTTTCTTGTTATACACATATATTGAGATATTAATACTACAGTTTAATAAAGTAGGTTTTAATATTCCATAGATGTATTAAATAGTCCTTATACTACTAAATTATAAGTCGGATACTGTTTAAAAAGGATAAGTTCTTTACAATATGATAACACCGATTAGAGGCGAGGGAGCCTATTCATTCATTTATTACCTTGTAGTACGCGTGGCAAGTGTGCGGTAAAGCTTTGATGCCGCTATGTCCCCGGCTGTATTAACGCATTTTCTTAGTTTGTAGTCCTTAAGTGTTTATTTTATTGACTTTTTCTGTTCAAGAACTATAAAATATGGTTCGCCAGTGCCAAATTTGCAAGAAATTTGACTTAAATAATCCATTTAAGTCTTGAAACGACTTTCGACCGGTAGACAACTCTCAATTTGCCCATTGGGAGCCAGTGGCGTTGTTGTAGAAAGGCGCTTATTTAGATAATATTTTAGTAAAATGTAAAATCTGAATTTTTTCTCATTACATTATTTACTTACTTACATTGTAACAAAGTCATAATTATAACCCTGTTAATAATTAA